CAGATTTATTCAATTTAATCTTGAACAACATTCATATCCCCCCAACGGTATCCGGTTAGGCAACATACTCAATTTGTGGACAACATTCAAGGAAGTATCCCATTCTATCTACTCATGGCCGCCATGGGTGATGTCACTTATGTAATAGTTACGGTCACATTGCTTAGGTCGTGTCTCTTTGTTTACCTTTTCCTGTCTTCCACACACCTTCTGTATACATGTGAATGGCACCTCCGAAAACCTCACGCCATGAGGTCGACACACCCACCAGAAATTGAATCATTGGTTATGCCCAGGCCTCAGGAAATGCAGCGGCAGCGGGCCAGAATGAGAATGTCAACGAGCGTACGGCGCAACGCATCTACAAACATTTCCTGGAGACTGGGGAAACGTCCAACAAACCTCGGCCGGGTCCGTCAGAGAAGCTATCCGACTATGGCAAGCAACAGGTCGTCCGCGAAGTAATCAAGCATCGATGAATGCCATTGACAGAGATCACAAACCGACTTGCCACCTGCGTATCACCTTCGACTATTCGACGCGTCATTGCTGCACAAGGATTTCACCAGAGGGTTGCACGCAAGGTGCCGTACCTCTCACCTGCTCATAAACAAAAACAACTCAATTGGGCGCGCATCCACCAATCTTTCCGGCCCTCCGACTGGCGATGTACCATGTTTTCCGACGAGTGCTACGTTTACCTCGGGGATGATCGCGGTCGGATTTATGTTATGCAGCGACCAGACAAAGAATTACTGGAGGAATGTCTAGTTCCAACCTTCAAGCAGTCAACAATACATGTTATGGTCTGGGGTTGCATCGCTGAGGATTGGAAAGGGCCTTTGGTTGTGTTGGAGTATCCAGGGGGCAAGGGAGGAGGTATGAATTCTACATGCTACCGAGAACAGGTTCTCAAGCCTGTTCTCCTTCCTTTTTATTATCTCTTAAACCAAGAGAGAGGGAATATGACATTTCAGCAAGACGGCGCTCCCAGCCATGGCAGCAAGGTCACGAAGAGGTGGTTTGCCCACCATGGCATCCCACTCTTCCCACATCCTCCCTCTTTGCCTGACCTAAATCCCATCGAACCCATATGGCACCTTCTTAAATCAACTCTCAGACACCTTCCACATCCGCCTACAACTGTCGATGGGCTGCGCGTTGCCGTTTTGCGTGCGTGGGAGGGGATTTCCGTGGAGGTTATCAATCATCAAATTGGAAAGATGGATCGTCGTGTTAAGGCTGTCCTAGCTGCAAGAGGGGGACATACTGGATTTTAATATTACATTCATGGACTCCATATATCTAAGTATCTAATGTCAAAGTTTTGTGGCTTGATTTGCAGAACGAAGACCAGTACTTGAGATTTTAAAGTCGTCAATCAATCTGTTTGGTGTGACACATTGGTGTGACCGACATCACCCGTGGCGGCCATGAGTAATCGCTTCAAGGGATGAAAGTGCGCAAAATAACATATAATTAGAGTACACATCATAACTATGCACATGTGCAGAGAACCTCAAAATCTCGTCAAAATGGCTTCTAAACGTAATTAATGGTTTATGTATTAGTTCAAACTATCCAAAGTCCTCCGAGTCGATTTGCGGATACGGCGTCTTCAGGCATTAGTCGAGGAAATTGTTGAGCAAATAATTAGGTAAGGAGTATTGAGGCCTGCACATGAACACCTCCGTATCCTTCCTGCAAACAAACAACATACGATTTCCCGTTAAAGTTCTGTACTGCACATCACCCCTGCGGTAGAAATTTCCGATGCCAGTCGGAACTTGGGAGGATCTCACCGCTCGCGGGGGTCGTTAGAGTTTTACGAAATGGACTCACCCGGGCGGGTCCAAGCATGCGCACCAACATCCGGACTTAAGTCAAGCAGTTGTGTGGCGCACCGCGTGCTAGTTACCATTCCGGGTCATAACTTAAGGAACCGTTAATTTCAAACGAAGGAAGCACAGACGTGCATACGGAGATGAACCGTTCATTGCTATGTTCCTATGGACATCGTATGCGCAAGTAGTCGAAGAAAGGACAGGAGGCCGCCGAGTCGGAGAGGGAGTGGGTCGGCACTCGATGACGTTGAGTCGAGGTCCAGGGTCGTGAAGGGGGTCTGACGTCAGACTGACAGGTGCGACCCGTCTTCATGATCTGTGCGTCGGGGGCTGGGGTGAAAAAAATAGTGATGGGCAGAAAAAAAAGGGCGGTTAAACGTTCACCTTCGAAGACCTCGACTTAGAATGTAAGTAAGAGTATCGTTGTCCGAATGCAGGCAGGGCCCTTGGCGTCGGCTTGCCATAGCGAACGTGAACATGAACACGTCGGTCATAAATTGAGGCTTCTGACCCATGTGCGTGTTCATGCAAATGAGTCAAAAGACCTGCGATGTGCCCCCGTATCCAATGGCCGAGCCGGACCTTCGTTGACCGGGTAGGACGTGTGTATGGATTACTGAGATTGGGAATGCTGGGTGCTACATATCTTCGTCTTCGGTCGGTGGTACCGGTAATCCCCGAAGCAGCAGTCGACCCAAAGGAGGTGCTGGGCCTGCTGGCGGTTACCATTGAAAGGTCTACCTGTCCCAGTTATGGTCTTGACATATGTATGTAGTCGCAGTTAGCGTTTTGACGTAGGCGTTGCCATCGGCGAGTACGCACTGGCTGGTAGTGGCGCAGAAGAAGGGTGAATTCAATTGAGAAATTGAGTACTTAACCCTTTAGACTCGAGGAAGGACTCGACTTGTGGAGGGCATGGGTATACTGTGTAGCCCTGACACAGAGAGAATCCAATGTCATGAGAGGCGAGTGAGGAGTAGGGAGCCGGGTTGAGGCAGGAGGGTGGTGGATGGTGGGTTCTGTCGCCGGAGTCCAGCATGGGGGCGCGTCGGCGGGGAGGGGGTCACTCTGCGGCCTACTGTCAGCCAGTGGCAGGCCGTGGAATTCAAGCTTGCCGAATAAGTATGTATTAAAAATGCTTTGTTCAGTTTTTGTAAATATTGGATGACAGAAAATACCAATGAAGTATTGAGCCATGATTCTACGCGCGTTGAACTCGTATCGCTGAGTAGTAGTGCGTCCCATAAAAGTAGAGAAGCTAAGTCGACTGTACCCCATTGACGGCGATTCTCGGTAGCCCCTTCCTTTCCTCCACTCCCGGAGCCATTGCAGTCCGCGATTGATTTCCTCGATCGAGGTAGAGGTAGACCCTGGAGCGACGTAACATGTCGCGATTGTCCTCATCAAAAATTCTCACATCTACCCCGTTTTCCCGTACAGCCAGCAGCCGGCTGGTGGCATCCCCATCGATAATGAGAGGGCCATCTGGCGCTGAATCCCTGTCATCGCCATAGATCTGGAGTTCAAAGACCTTCAATGCTTGACGGGCAGAGCCAAGCGATCCAGCACAAGGGCCGAACATATTGGCGACGGAGTGCCATTCGAAGTTGATGAAGACGCGGATTACGAGTGTGTGGAGGAGAGGTAAGAATACTGGGCCCTGCTCATTGGTATCTGCGGAAGTGGGAGTAGCCTCGAGCGTGGGCGGCCCTAGATGGCGAAACAGCACGTCGGTAATGAACGGAATCACAAGGGCCAACGCGAGCAGCGAGGGTGTGTGTTCCAGCAGGCGTATCAACTTGTTCTCGTTGTTTGCGGACGGGTCGGAGTTGCTGAACACCGTCAGGCGTTCCAGATGACAGCCTGAGCGGATAATGAGATCGGTAAGAGGATCTGGGTCCATGTCGTGCATGCCGATATGGATTTCTTCCAGAGATGGTAATAGGAGAGCGTCGAGAAGACGGTCGAGGCATCTGCCTTGGCCGATCTTGAGCGCTCGAAGCGCGGTGTGCACTATGGGATTAGAAGACACGGATGGCCGCTCATCATCGAGCCGTAAGCTCTTGAAAGTTAGGTGAGTCATCGCCTGGGCACCGCGGAAGAGCGCCAGACACCACTCCAGCAGTATGGAGGAGGCCTCAACATGCGTAACTCGGTGCCATGATATCCCTATGGCTCCGAACGAAATGTTTTTGAAGCATACAGTGGCGGGGCTAAATGTCGCATCTGTCACGGTGGCGCTGTTGAGCCTGCCAGCGACGAAGTCGGAGTAGTCTTGTTGTACTTGGATGTGCTGTAGCAGCGACGCAGTAGACCCAGGCTTTCTGCAGAGATGCTGCAGCACGGTGGCCTCGACCATCGTCTCTCAGCTCTTCCATCGGTCCGAATGGGCGGTGACAATGTCGAGGAGGCGTAGAATGTTGTGCGGGAGTGGGGATAAACCATATTTATCCATAGGCTGATAAAGTGTGAGCCAGACTGGCAATGCGCCAGACCGTAGAAGCTGCTCGTCAACGAACTCAGGATATCCCTTCTCCTGTTGCTGCAAATTGACAATGATAGACGTCCACATTTGGGGTGTAGAATGAACAACATCGCGCCACGCAGGACAGACGGCCGATAGGGTCCAGGAGGTGCTCGGTTTCTTTGTACACGGCGCCCAACGCAGGGGTTCGTGCTTCTGTCGACCACATATTAGGGGCAGAAAGAATGTCGATGGTCGGTGAATAAGTCGGAATGGAAGCAATTGCGTGAAAATCCGTCCGAGCAGTTCGGTAGGGAGGCGGTTGATGAGGAGGTCGTGCTGGCGATTCCACTGTGACTTGAGCTCGAGGGCGGTCGTTTGGAGCTGCTGGAGATCATTCAAGGTATCCTTTATCTTCTTCTCGAGCAACACGAGTGCTTCACAGGGATTGCAACGTTTACCACCCGAGATGGTACAAAGGCTGCACGAAGCGTAAGTGTCTTCCCCAATCGAAAAATTGTTGCAGACTTTGCAGGGATACGCATAGTGGCGTATCGGTTCTCGTGCTCTTGGCATCCTAGATTGGGAAACTAGAGCTTCCAGGTCGTACATAGCAGCAATTTGAGACGACGAAAAAAGAGGGTAACAAGAGAGGAGGATTAAATCAAAATCTAATTATGAGATATTGTCAGATAACAAGCAGAGGATGGCGGAGCCAGGAGGGATGTGGAGCCTTACTGTAAAGTGGATGAGAGCTCGGACGGCGGAGACACGAGCGAGCTGAGGGACCACAAGGCTCGAGATAAGAGATGAAAGAGGGAGGAAAACTCAATAGGATAGTGAATAGATGAAAATAAGATAAATGAAATAGAAGAGATGGATCCACTATCCAGATTGTGAGCTTAGCAACTCTGAGAGAAAGAGGGAGAGAAAGGACTTACCTGCACTGAAGAGATGGTGGTTGATAAGAGAGAGAGCTCAGAGAAGAGGCGCAGTGTCCGGGTCACGCTCACGTGCCTAACTGTCACATGCCGCGCATCCGCTCAAAGCAACAAGAGCAACACAAGAGTAGACCACGGAAGGAGAAGAGACGAGATATAAGTTGAGGGGTATTGATCCGAGAGGCCAGAGGCCTTCGAGACTGCTCCTTTCCCTTGGAACTCACATTTACGTCGAGCTATTGACAGCTTAAGACTTCCAAGTGACCAAGTTCACAGACTCGCCTCGAGCTCCAGTTGGATCGTGACAACAAAACATTCCAACGCGCCAAAAAATAATTCATATATGTAACCAGCAATTTTACAAAAAGAACAACAACAGCTCCGCACTCAAAGGGTATTACAACGTACGTATAGGAAGATATCGAACAGTATCAGCACCACCAGCACCACCCTCTCCTGACTGTAACACCAACGACTGACCAAGCCAGCTTCCCTATCCCATACATGGGCTGGCCGACTCTCGCGTCGAGAGAAGCCCCGCCCATGCCGCTCCGGTCCAGCCTCCAGTTGAAGCTTGAGGCTCAAGGCTTTGGACTGGAGAGGCCTACAAGTCGGGGTGTGCCATTGAGAGGTAACTGAAGCCAGAGAGGCCAAGCCGACAGGTATCAAGGAACCCTACTCCCCCCACAAGACCCAACCCCCAGCCACCCAAGATGTCGACCGAGAACCAACGCCAACCTGCCTGCCAACCAGCCGTCTAAGGAAAAGACGGAGGTAACGAAAGGAAGAGAACGAGATAAAGGAGAAACGAGTGCCAGTTTGAACAAAAGAAAAAAGGAAGATGATAGGACAATGTCGATGAACGTAAAGCGTGTATATGTATATCGACACGAAGATGACAGAGAGACAGAAGGGCAGAAGCAAGCCGGAATGGAATACGTAGAACGAAATAAAAAGAGGAAGAAAAAACACGTCGGCGTATTCGGTATACGGTATTCGGTATGCCAGTGGTACGGGAAGTAGAAGTAGTAGTACAATCCGGTCATCGTTCGTTCGTTCGTGTCCGAAGTCCGAGCCCGAAAAAGAGGCGAAGAGTAGAAAGTAGAGGGCAGAAAGTCAATTTCCAGTAGAGTCGAAGAGAAGAAAAGTCAAAGGGGTAAGGGTCTGGTTGAGCAGAGGTGCGGTATGGCTGCGACGTGGGTACGGTCGTACTTCGAGCATCGCCGGAGCTGAGCAGGCGATTGCACCTGAAGGACGGTCGTAGAAGAGAGGATCGACGGACAATGGAGGATGGGAGGGGTAGAAGGACATGAGAACACGATTCGCATTTTCGATTCGAGATGCTGGTAAATGGCTGAAGAGGGGTATGTGGCATAAAAGGTCGTTACGATTTTGATTTTGGTTTTGATTTTGCGTGGCGGAGGGCGTCCGCGAAGAAGGGCGAGTAGAAAGTCGGAAGGAAGATGGGCATCGGATTATGGAAAGGGGGCGGATTAAAGATGTCGAGTCAGGGAAGATATTGGAGGTTGACGAAAGGGCGTTGAAGGAGAACGGGACAGACGATAGGGTCGTGCGTGTTGATGACGGTGATGTTAATGACATTAGCGGGATCGGTGTGGTATTACAGGAACGAAGAACATATAACGTTTATTTGCTTGAAGAAACCAAAGCTGAAAGCCTTGCAAGGCTGCATGTAGACAAGGTCCAGGCTTCGAGATGGGATCATGACGGGTAGTAGTCGTCGTCCCATGATTCTGTGAGGAGGAAGAGGTGGTCAGTGAGGGCCCGTTAAAAATATGCAGACGCAGACGAGGAACAGAGGAAGGGTAAGGTAAGGCGGTATTGACGACGCCGAAAATGCGGATATATGCGCCCTCCTACCCATCCACCCTCCATCCCTTACCCGCCTCTCAGACCAATTCCAAAACTCACCTTCCGTAATACTCTTCCACGCCAAATACAACACACCCACCGCCGCCGTCTCCAGGAGCGTCGCCAAAAAGCTGCCATCCACTTTCGCGTTCGAGCCCCTGCATATCACTCTACTCAGCAAGAACCACGCGAGCTGGGAGAGCACGAAGAGGCCCGCGGCGAGGATGTAGTACCACATCGGGCGCGTCTCGTTGAGCACGCGTAGGACGATGTAGGACATTAGGCCGAGGTAGGCGAGGGCGCAGCTGGAGGAAGGGGTGGTGTTTGATGTAAGCAAGTTGAAGGGGATGGAGAGGGGGAGGAGGAGGAAAGGAGGACGTACATCCCAGGCCAGATACTCGTCAGGATGAACAGCGCGATACTGCGCAGCGCCTCGGGCGGGTTCGACGCGCCGCCGATCGTCTCCGTGATCCCCAGCCCGATGTCGAGCGAGATGTAAAGTCCAATGGCGAATGTGATGAGTGTGAAGATGTAGAATGGCTATCAGGGTAAGGAGAAAGTATGACGTCGTCAGCAGGAGTTTCAAATGGCATATCAGATCACATAAGAGGAAATGAAGAGTGAATGAAGGACTGAATGAACGGAGGATTGAAGACGGGAGGAGGGAGGGAAAGTATAGCTACGGGAAAGAAGGAAGGCGGCAACGATGAGAACTGAGAAACGAGGATACTGTTCCCTGTTCTGTGGAACAGCTCTCGAAGCCCGGTATGGAACGGGCTTTGAATCGCAGGTTACGAGAGTAGGAGTGGGGCTGCCAGCGAGGCCAAAGGACAATCTCGCCGTTTCAGGCTGCTGACCGCCGTAGGCCATCCTCGGACTTGCGAGCCCGCAAGCTCGCAGCTCAGAGGTGCCAAGGGATTCCGGACGTCATACCCTCCATTTCCCCAGTCAGCCGTCCGACCACTCTAATCCCACAGAAAATCCAAGGAGAACGAAACGCTGCGAAACCAAAGACGCCGAACAACAGAGGGCGACCAAAAGCCAGCGAAGAAAGAAGACCAAAAGGAATTTCACATACCACCAAGCTAGCGAGTGTCCCATCCTCCACCACCTGGGTCGCGACGATCGCGTTGGCCAGCAACGCCCAGAAGAGCGCAACGACTGCGCCCGCATGGATCCCGGTGAGAACGACGAGCGCCGTTGAGCCCTGTTCGAGGACCGCGCCCGTCGTCAGGAGCTGCAGGGGCAGGGTGAGGAGGTAGAGCGTGAGGAAGGTGCGCAGCTCGATGCGGCCTGGGAGGTGTGAATCCCATGGGAAGAACAGAGGTCGTGCCGTGAGAGTGGGTGAAGGGGGAGAGTAGACGAGCCGCGGTGGTATTCATGTCCGGAGTTGAATTCATAGCGCATAGTTCATGTTGTTAATGTTTGCGTTAGTGTTGGGTGCATGGCGAGCCGTGCGCGGTTGAACGGTGGAATGAAAGGTCATCGGACGTGCCGCATGTGAGATGCATTCATTGGACGGTTGAACGAGATTGGTGGCGAGTTAGTTGGTGCGTTGGTGGTTGGTTGGTGGGAGAGAGTGATGTAAATCAGCATGGCTTTCATCAATGAAAAAAGAGCAAGAGCATGTGTGAAGAAGACTTTGGCGAGGACGGATGCAGATGATGTCCGAGTGAGGTGCATACCACCCTCTCGACACGAAAAACTACAGAAAAAAATGCAAACAACGAGAATATAGATGTGGACTCACCAACAGCCGCCTTCCGTCGATTACACAACCAAATCAACGCCGCAACGAAGAGCACGCTGGCACCGCACACGGCGATGTTGGCGACGTTGCCTATCGAGCCGTCGTGGTTGATTCTGGGAATACCGCATTCGGGGTTGATGCCCACTGGTGCTGAGGACGCGGGTGTCGAGCGGTCGCCCAATGTTGAGGGTGAGTCGCGTTGGAGCTGTGAGGGAAGAAGCGGGTGTTAGTTCGGTGAAAATAGCGAAAGTCAGGCAAAAGGTGGGGTAGAGGGATAGGAAAGGGTAGGAAAGGGCACTATATGCGTACCTGGCGGTAGAAGAGATTGCACCAGGGATAACTCGGCGTGTCTGTGCACAACGGCTGAAAGTCGCCAAAGGCTACCATGGTGGTATTTCTGGTCAAGAGTTGGGTGAACGCTGGGTGTCGCTACGCGTAGGGTATCGTTGTCGTCGTCGTCGAAGATGCGAGGACCAAAGGGGTATGGCAGGGTGTCGCCGGGGTCGTACGGGTCGTGAGTGGGAGGAAGGGAAAAGGTCGCCGATACGTGAGGGCGAGCGATTGATGAATGGGATTGCGAATGATCAAACAGGAATATACAAAAGGCCCGAACGGACGTTAGCCTCATGGTCGCCGTACGAGAGTAATCTCGTAAAACGTGGGGGTACGCACCCTGTTCTCTGTGGTCCAGACAGTCTACGGTCAAAGGAGGGTGGGGGATATAAGCATAGAGGGCGCTCAACGCCAGACAAATGGTGGGGGGTAAGAAACGGATATGGTTGGCTCCTCCCGCTCTGCCACCCACCGCTGCCGTTGCCTGGTAACCACGTGTGGATCATTCCCTCAAACATGTCCTCCGAGTACACATCCCGTTATGCTTACCTGCGCCGCAACATTGTTCTCTACAAAAGACCATTTCTTTGTTAACGAAACGACATGAGACGTGCAGCACCTCTGCCTTGATGTACCCTAGCACTCCGTGCAAAGTCCTCACTGTGCTGATGCATAACTGTGCGTGTCAAGTTCCCCCTGTGCTTCTTCATGACGCTGTACACGCGAGTTTGTTTAGGGGTCCGTGCAGGGTTATGACAAACTGACGTCGACAGTGGGACATGGGCGCTAGGCGATGGCAAGTCACCAACAAAGGACATCCAGGACGGCCCAGTGCTCAGACCCACTTGGTTTCCGATCTGGTTCGGTCGTACCGGAGTTTGTATCCATTGGACAGGACGTCGTCGATTTAACGGCTTCATCCAGGCCCGACTACATAGAGGAAGATATAGAGGGATAATCCTAGGTGTAACGTACGAGGAAATTTTAATGTCCTGACCTGGACCGTTGCGCTGATCCCTCGGTCGCGAATATAGGAACAAATGCCGTCCTCCTATATATTTTACCAGAATTGGCAGTTGAGGAACTCAGTTCCCATTAAGAGAATTTTCTGCACCTTTTCACCGTGGTCGAGGCTTTTCAAGCTGGAAGCCTGATTCAAGGCCAAAAGTCGAAAATTTCGTTGGCCGCCTTCGCACTCGAGCAAAGAGCCGGCTCAACCGCCAACGACGTCAACCCCACTCACCAGTGCGCCACCGTGCTGGACGTTGGCCACAGGACCCACCCACCATCTTCCTGCCTCGACTCGGCTTCCTACTCCCTACTCGCCTCCCCTGACAGCAAGATCGTCCCTCTGCCCACAAGCCTCAACCTTCAGCTTCAGGCTTCAGGCTGCTCAGTACACCCAGGTGTCGAGCCTTCAGTTGAGCCTCAAAGCTTAAGTACTCAATAGAATTTATCTTTCTTCTGCGCCACTGCCAGCTGAACGAGCGACACGTCGCGGGTACAACGTCCACAGAATTAGAGCAACGCCAGGATGCAGACTGCGGTGACTGTGTCAATACCATAACTTCGACAAGCCTTTAATGGTAACCGCCAGGAGGCCCAGCACCTCCTCTGAGGCCTACTATCGTAGCCTGCTCGCGGCTTACCAACTGGCGAAAACACGTAGCACCCAGCACCTACCGGTCAACGAAGGCCCGGCTCAGCCGTTGGATACGGTGGCACATCGCAGGTCCTTTGATTCATTTGAACGATGGGTCGCAAGTGTACGACCGACGCGTTCGCTATGGCAAGCCGACACCAAGGGCCCTGCCTCCCTGCAGAAAACCATACTCGTACATCCCGAGTCGAGGTCTGCGAAGGCACTGCCGTTTAACGTTTAACCGCCGTTTTTTGATGCCCATCTTCTTGCTGGAACCCCCCACTATTTTTTTTTCACCGCAGGCTCTAGCCTCGGACGCGTCGTACCTGACACTGACGTCAGGCGGCCTTTACATATGCGACTTCATGACCCTAGACCTCAACTCGACGTCAGAGCCGACCCACACTCCTCTCCGACTCGGTGGCCTCCCCTTCCCTACTTTCTTCGACTACTCGCCCATACCGTATCCACAGCGACATAGCAATAAACAGTGCATCTCCGTATGTACGTACGTGCTTCGTTCGCTCCGACGCTCAACGAAATTTACGGTTCCTTGCAATGATTGCCCGGAATGGAAACTAACACGCGGTGCGCCACACAATTGCGAATTCGGAAGAGGACGGGAGGACCTCCCCGGGCCCGGGCGTGTCCGGCCCTATCTCACAGGCGTGCCGTGGTTTTACGACGCCGCTTGTGGTTATGGATATCCTCCTTCCAATTGGCATATTTCCATCACAGCGGCAATGTGCTGCACGGAGCGGCAGACAACCTGCTGCTCATTCCCGAATTCATCGGCAGGGCCAACCTCTCTGTATGCATTAGCCATTAGCTGAGTTTTCGACATTTTTAGGACACGAGACAGAGCAATACTCATGAGAGAGCTATACGAGAAGTACGAGGCAAAGATATGACCAAAGGTGACTTGGCTGGCCCGTACATTTATCCCAGACATCCTGGGATAACATTTTATTTGATAAACTCGTACTAGTGGTATTAAAGAGCTATTCTATAGAGTATGGAATAATACTGGTTCTTGTAGCTTGCATAGCGGAAGGAATGAGCAAGTTGCGGCGTGATCGTCTGAGATTCGGAGACTGCTGAGGCGCCAAAAGATTAATTTGGTGCCATCTTTCATCTGTCCTGATCATACCAGGCGCTAATTGACACTGGAATATCATCAAGAACTGGTTCTGAGCCCAAATCTGTCTATTGGCCTCAGGGTCCCAAAACTTTTTAACGACCCTCCCCCTTACTTCGCCCTCCCCCACCTGATATCCGATTTTTCTTTCCTGTCACCCTCTTGAAAGCATCAGCGATGGTTCTCGGCGTGGGGAAGACACCCTTGGTGGCTCGTGTTTGCCTATGTCCTTTCTGTGCAGGGTGGGTTGAAGGCCGGAGGAGGAGCCGCACTTTGCGAAAGGTACCACTTGTAGTTGAGGCGATGACGGGCTCGGCTGCGGAAGTAACCGGTCCCTGAGGTGCGAAAGGCGGCCACGTCAGAGGATGTTTTGTGGTGTATGAGTCGATATCAGACACTGAGAATGTGCGATTACACTTTCGTTCCGTGCTGGTACATATCAGGTTAGGCATGGTTGACACTTGACACGTTGAAATCGCGTACCATGTAAGGCGAGAGGGTGATTCAAGCCTATCATACTGCACGATGCTTTCACAGTAAGGGCATGCAACAGATGCAGAGGATGCCCTTCGTTCAAGTGTACATGCAAGAACCACCGTGATGCCAAGAACCATCCCAGGCTTAGGCTTCCAATCCTCCCGCGTGATGACGACGTTGTGCTCTTCATCCTCAATCTCGTATTGTCCCTTCTGCACAAGTCCATGCCCAGCCTTTGTTGGATCTTTGAAACGCTCAGCGAGGCGCGAATGGAATCCCTAGGAAGTGTAAGGAAAACACAGGACCACGGTATGGAGTTCTGCTTACTTCCCAGGTTTCGCAGTCATCTACCCTCATTACGAAGACTTTGTCTCGTTCAACATCAAGAATGGTAATGTCGACCCGAGAAGGAAATCGGGGAACACCACAGATATACCACAGAAACATAGCAGCGTTCAGGATGCCGACAGTGAGAGAGCCGCTAGCAGTAGGAAGGGCAAAGGCAGCAACAACAGCCAACAGGCGCATAGGCACATCCGAAGTCTCATCCGGTAAGTATTTGGAGATCATTCGGAGATTCTGTTCAGTGCTGGATATATGGATGGAAAGGCCCAGGTTCTAGGTCAGGTCAGCGCGGCTTCCAAATTGCAGCAAATCGAGGATTCTCACCGGGATCTTAATGACGATACTATTCTTGTCCGGGTCCTTGACCAAGGTATCAAGGATTTTGTTACGTTCTGCGAATTCTGTTAGGATCTGCATTAGGAAGCCTAGGGTAAATTACCTCTGATTGCCACTGAATTCATATGATCACCAATACGAGATTCCATCGATATTATGCCTGCTGATGAGGCCGCTTTTGCTGCCCATATTTGACGGGTGATATTTCTTTGAACTTTGTTGAGCAAATCCTTAGTTTTGCGTGAGTCGTGAGCTATCGAAGACATCAAAGAAAGAACACACATTCTGTTGCTGGAGCAGCTTCTGTATCGCAGCGTCACGTTCTTCTTGCTTGATGACACCTTGGTGGAGATGAGCATGGAAATGTGGGATAACCACGCATCCGCGCACCTTCTTTATGGTCTACAAGAAGTTGGACAACGTCGGACTGGAGCTCAACCTCGAGAAGGCGGTCGAGTTCGGTGACAGCATCATGTATGTCCTTGTTCCCGAGGAGACCCTTGAAAACATTCGGTATCCCTGCATAATGATTAGGGGGGGTAGTGAGCGCAGTAGGGGAAAGAGACGTACACCTTCCCTTTATGATGGTCGTTGCAAGACCTATTACATTCAGGATGGCGGCAAAGATACTTGCGAAAAGTTCTGTGTCGTAAATATAGTCGCGTATCTTCTCTCGGAGGTTGAAGCGTTTACAGAAGTAAAGTAGTTTCTCCAATAACTTCTCTAGCTCTTCGAGACGTTCTTGATTGGTTCTCACAGCCTATGGAATGTCAAGTGAGGATGTACGTCACACAAACAGGATGGCAGTATGCACCTTCAACATGATACCGAAGACGAGAATGATTGCCTTGCCACCCGGAGCGCCCTGGAAGGCATATACACAATCGAACTGAATGATAGAGCAGGGATGCACGTACTAAAGCCGAGGCAAGTTCGGCTGCTGCGTCGTTGAAGATGAGAACGATGTCCAGCAGCTTTTTTAGCATTTCTAGCAAAGGTCTCCGTCCTGCAGCAGCCGTCCGTGAAGCACGTAAATCCTGCAGCATCTTCCCGAGAAAATCTCTCGCTTCTGCGCTCGTCTGGCATCGGACGAGGGGTTGGAGTTCAGCGCTGCAAGAATTCGGCTTGCGGATGTTCTTGCCAGTGCGTTCGATATACAAGTCGAGGGCCCGATCCTGGATGACCGAGAGGTTCGAACGGGTTAAGGGTCCTGAGACCGCAGTGTTGAGAGCTCGGGCCATCGGTGAGGGACATGGTAGTTTGAGGGTAGTGAAGATGTGTAGTTGTACGGTCTCCTCGCTACGGTGGAAGGGTAAGACAAACAGTTGGGCACAGCCGGACATGTGACAGGTTGATGGAGCACAGGAAAAGCATAGGTTCGAATCAGGGAAGGGGCCGGGCTCGACATTGACACGCAGGGGCTTGCCAACCAGTGTAAAGAGCATCACACTTTGGTTGAGCCTGGCGAGGTAGGTCATTGTGCGGCCTCAGTGGCGTTGCCCGGAGTACCGAGACTGCGTCGTTGCCATATGGGCGGGATTCCTGGAATAGCACCTGCCTCCTCGGTGGCGTCGTCAATTTTTGGAACCTTTGTCGGCAGGGCGATGAATCCCACCAACAGGAGGTAATGAATCTCAAAGTTCGGAAGCGGCTGGAAGAAAGTGCATCGGAGGCCCTCTAGGAGCCTGTCGGACGGCTTTCAAAGAAACAGGAAACTCGAGCAGTCTTCCGACGAGAGGGTGGTCCAAAAAGGAAAATCCTGTTGGCTGCTAGGCACGAGTTGTCTGAAAATCCAGAACAGCATTATCAACCGCGTTTTGCGTCTAGGAAAGGTTCCACGTACCGTCTTTTGACTCTTTCTAGCATGCTCTTCGTTCGACGCACAAAGATAGTCGTGCAAAGGTCGGCAAGGGTCCCTCGGTCCCTCGGCTGCCTGTCCTTATGAAAAGTTCCCTTGTTCGACGTTTTGATGGCCTGGTAGGAAGAAAGGGTCAGAGGAGAGGAGAGGAGAAGAATCGCAGCGACATCGACCCACAAAGACGTCGTGGAGACTGCTGGTGACGGAACTAACCTGGGCCAACACGAGAGAAAAGGACAGAGTGTCATCTCCCATAAAGCGAGATAAGACGACGCCTTGAAGACCAACCACAGGCTCTCAGAAGCCAGTTTCAGCGGGGCGACAGTACCGTGGCAAGAATCCTTCATAATCCGGTGATTTCTACTGGCGTCCTTCCAAGTTCCGCGGACCACTGAGAGTTCGGTTGACAGATGGTACTCCGAAACATACGAGGAGATAGTCAGTCGGCATCTTCTTTCGTGTCATAGCCAACGATGTAGTCCTTGGCGGCGCAAACTCCCAGAATGATGCACACGAAAAATAGGTTGCCTCTTCTCCGATGTCAATTCGATGCAGGTAGTGCACAATTAATCCAATCGGATACTACGTGGAATCGATTCTTTGGGGGCACGAAACCTTGAAATTGTCTTCTTAGTGGACATCGGCACTCCATTCCGGATAAGAATGAAAGGCGTACTGACTTTGTATAGACCACGATCTGATCAAGGTTCGATGTGAAGGAATGCTTGTCTCGGTCCTCACTGGCAAGGGCCAAGGAGGTATAAGCCCCTCTTCTCATCGTCCTGTTTATCTCGGGCGTTCCTGTCGAGGGAGTCCGGCGACGTGCCAGCTCCAGCAACCTCAAGCTCAAGAAACTCCTGCCCGCGAGTATCGTGAAAGGAACGTTGGTGCAAGTAAAGTGATGCAGGATAGATAGGGATAAATCGGACGTCAGGGGATGTGATCGTAAAGCTTGTTCGTGCTCATCCCATTTCTTCACGAAACTTTCGACCTCCCTATCAGAAGTATTAATACCCAGTCCAGTGAATGTGTCTTTGAAAAAGATGGTACCTGGAGCTCCGCCCTGACCTCATATTTCTGCGATTTTTGGGCCATCGTTTTATATAACCGTAGGCGTAATTGGAGAACTGGCAATGAATAGACGGGAGGTGTTTAATGTTAAACTTTCGGACATAGATGATGCATACTGGGAATATGGTGGGATGGTTTTAGAAGAAATGAGATCCAGTTGTTTAGGTGGTTGGGTGGTTGAGAGAGGAAGACACTCGGCATGTAACACGTGGTCGACGGTCGTGCACTCATATCAACGGATCTTCGCCGTGGCCCAATTCCTTCCTTCCTACTCCTTGCAAAGTCTGGCACATTAATGCAGCTATTCATACGCCTGCGGCGTCTACAGCGATCTCGCAATCGCGGAAGAAACGTACGGTTCTTGTACAGCCTGCACTATGTCAGGTGGTAGTCCCTGCACTGCCTGTGAGCAGCTCGTACTGCTCGACAAGAAGATAAAGGACACGTTGAATGTCCTCCAGCAGTTCCAAGAGGCCGCCTTCGAACTCAAGTCGCAACGGAATCGCCAACACGACCTCCTCGTCAACCGACTCCCCACCGAGCTGCTTGGGCGGGTCTTTATGCAATTCCTTCCGCCTCGACCTGTTCATCAGAGGTCCATTCTTTCAGCCCCTTATACGTGATCAAGAGAAGTGCAAACAACCCAGTTGGAAGACCAAGTCGAGCACTTGGAGATTGTCGAGGGTCTGTCGTGCGTGGCGCGATATTATCCGCTGTACACGTCAACTGTGGACATCGATCGTTGTCGATGTGGACGAAGAGGACCGAGGGTATGCTGAATTTATAAACGACCTGTTTCAACGGTCTGGAGCACTACCGGTCTGGGTCAAGCTTTACCAACCTATCCGGCGTTACACTTCCTGCTCGAGAGAAGGCTTGCCGTCGCCCCACACCACACGTCTCCTCGAGATCGTCAACACCCATTCCGGTCGATGGAAGAGTTCGAGGACCGATATTGAACCAAGGATACTGCAATATGTTTGCGGAAATCCTGCGTCCACCACGTCGGTCTTACAACACCTGCAGATCGAACAACGCACCTGGTCCTATTCCACCGCCGACCGTTTCACCATGGCATATGCAACACCCAGCCTGAACACGATATGCAGATATGCATAAGTGGCATATTGTCCGCTGCTGTAGGAATCTCATGGGACCGGATTACGCATGTTGAAGTGTCTTCCTTCCGCTTTAGCTGCTGTCTAGCACTCTTCCATGGTGCTCAAGCATTGACCCACCTCACTCTCGGGGAATTTTGGCTCGATTATGACCTACCATCAAAGCCCTCTAAACCGGTCGTGCACGCCGCGCTCCGCGCGTTCAAGATTGACGATGAGGGAAAACATATAGGCCGTCTTCTCGATGTTCTCCAACTGCCATCTCTGGAAGAAATGCACATAGACCATCACAACACAGATCCCCTTACCGATCTCATTACCCGCTCAGGCTGTCGTCTACAGCACCTGACAGTTAAGATGCCCGGCGACTTCGACCGGCCCGCAGACGGCGAGAACGGGATGATACACCTGCTCGAGCATACCCCCTCGTTGCTCGCGTTGGCCCTTCAGACAACATTCGTTACTGACTTGCTGTTTCGCCGTCTAGGACCACCCACTCGCGAGGCTAGTCCCACTTCCGCAGATTCCAACAAGCAAGGCCCAGCATTCTTACCTCTCCTCCATACCCTCGCGATCCATGTCTTTCTCAACTTCGACTTCGAATGGCACTCCATCGCTAATATGTTCTCCCCATCCGCTGATTCCCTTGGCTCTGCCCGTCAAGCGTTGAAGAACTTCGAACTCCAGATTTATGGTAAAGTCGGGGATCCTCACCCGCCTCAAGGCAGTGATCTTTTCAAAATCGAGGAGGATTCTGCAAAGCGACTACTGGCTGTACGAGAAAATGGCATCAATGTGACGATTCTTGATCCGCGCAACTACGAAATGTTGGTTGCCTCGGATTCTATTTCACCTTCAGCCCCTGCGAATAGTGTTTAGCGGCGTCTATTCGCGGGTTAGTACGAGACCTCAAGTCATTCAGAGAACACTTGTCGTAACCTGGACACCACGCCGTGAGCAAGTTTCAAGTTGGATGTCGAACGGAACGTGTTAAAACGGTTGAAGTCGAACCCTCTCCGCGGCCTTGCCGACCAAACAAGAGCAAAAACTCAGCAGACCCACGTTTTATCCATCTCATTTTGTTTTCTCTTATTCCCCCACTTTCTCGCTCTGTGATCTGTTTTCCTCGATCCTATCTGTAGATTGCCTGTGTCATATCCCTTCTCCCTGCTTCTCGTAGCTGTAACTCACCGTTTCCCTCTCTGAGAGTCTTTGCACAATGTTCTCCGTATCGCATACCGCATTCTAGTTTCTCCCATTGAATCGCTCACATCCGTTCACTGTAGTCCTCGGTTTATTATTATGTATTCTATTTCTTAAAGTTTCCATTCTTCTTTCTGTCCAATCATGATTCCTTTTTCCTCTAGTCAAGTATCCCTCACCTGAACTTGCATGCTTGTCATTGCTATTTCAGCCAGCTCCACATCTTTCCTAAAACCCTTTCCTATACCCGCCACAGATGCCGGATTTAGCGGGCCACAGCCGGTCACACCCCTTCCGAGTTGGTGCCATCACAAAGGGTGTGTGCTCCTCTTTCACCGCACGGACATCCAACGCGATCCAGAGGTGCACCGGTGAGTGAGAACGCTATCTGTTTGTTATATTCTGTGCTTACATTATCTGACAGTTCTGAATCTACACCGACGCCATTTGGCGACGAGAAACTTTGCTGGCTGTCCGCAGAGTCGCAGAGCTTCACAAGCATCTCCCCGAACTGCAAGTGGAAGTCTGCGATCCTAGCAAAGAGAGCGTCGATGAATCACGATTCGCACTCCCGCGAGATTTGCAGCCGTTTTCAGGATATTGGAATCGAGGAAGAAGTTTATGCTTCGTGCACATCATGCACGATGGCAGGTGGTGAACGTTGCGTAGTGTGCAACCAGCTCAGAGAACTCGACAAAAAGATCAAGGAGATGTCAGAGCTGCTTGGCCACCTCCTACGCTCTGCCGTTGACCTCAAGTCGCAGTGAAACCGCCAGCACGACCTGCTCGTACCGCTAAACGAAAACGTACTGAACAGCCAGATGAAGAGGCATCGCGCTCTGAAGACACCGTGACGCGTTCGGAAAAGTACTGGTTTGACGACGGGAACATCGTACTTCAGGCGGAACCGCCTCCCTACCGAACTCCTTGCCCGGATCTTCATGCAACTCCTCCCACCTGGTCCGGCTTCCCCCGCATCAACGTTCTTTCCGCTGCTGAAGGTCGAGGCGAAAGCAGCACCTGTCGAGGTGGCGAAGTGGAATCATCGGCCCTTGTCCGCGGTCTGTCGCGCGTGGCGTGATGTTGTCCTGTCTACTCCCCAAATGTGGACCTCGATAGCCGTCAGTGTGGAAGAAAGTGACGCATCGTACGCCGAATTCGTCAGCCACCAGTTCCTTCGATCGGGCGGGCTACCAGTATCGCTCAAAGTCTATGAGCCTCATCGATTCATAAACATTGCTTTACCTCTGCAACCCGTTCCTACCACACATCGTAGGCATCTCTTTGAAATCATTAACGCCCATTCCAGCAGATGGAAACGTTTGGGAACCCGTCTACGGCCCGCCATGTTACAGTTTGTCTGCGGAAAGCCTGAGACAAATTCGTCGATGTCACAACACTTGACCATCGAACGCTACAGCTATATCAGCGACAATGATGGACTCGCCCGTTTCGCCATGAAGCATTCGACGCCCAGCCCGAGTACGGTATTCCTCAAAAGCATCTCACTCGATGCGGTTGCGATCTCTTGGGAAAAGGTCACACACATCGAACTCTGCTCTTTTGACCCCTCTGTTTTTTTGGCACTCTTCCGCACTGCCCAGGCGATGTCCCACCTCACCCTCAAGGAGTTTTCTGTTGAGGACTGGTCCCCTCCAATCCAAATCATTGAACACACATCCCTCGCGGGCTTTCAAGATTCGCAATTCTGACATCGACCCGCTTCTTGATTCTCTCTCAAATTGCCATCCCTGGAAGAGATATTCGTTGACGAAGATTGTTCGACCTCTCTCATCAATCTCATCACGCGCTCTGGGTGCGCTCTGAGGCGCCTGACAGTCATGATGGACCCAGAAATGCCCCACCAGACTGAGAACGAGCTAATACGCCTGCTGGAGCACACGCCCTCCTTGGTCGCGTTGACCCTCGAGACTCCGCCCATTACTGATTATTTTTTCCACCGTCTGGGACCAGCTCCTGGTGGTTCAGTTTCTACCCCTCCTCCACACCCTCATCATTCACGTTTTTATCGACTTTGAGTGGCATTCCGTTGCTCATATTTTTTCGCCCTCCGCTGGATCGCCCGATTTTCCCCGCCGAGCATTGAAGGTCTTCGAGCTCAAGATTTATGGGGGCGGCAGGGATTCTCATGATGTCGTTATCGATGATGATTCCATGGAGCGCTTACTGGCCCTACGGGACAGCGGAGTATACACCACGATTCTTGATTATCAGGACTGTGAGGTGTTAGCCAACAAGAAGAAAAACGATGTCCACTCCACGAGTATATTTCTCGGAACCTGTTGATTCAATCAACAATCTTGGACTCAATATCCAGAGCCGAGACATGTGCATCCCTAATTCTTAATTGGAAGTCGAGCCTTAGGTATGTTCGGTTGCCATGATCCAACTGAATTGTGATATGGGCTCGGATGGCTAGACTCACTGCGGCATTGCAAAACTTGACTGGGTCCCCTTGCACATTGGCGGCTTTCTCAAAGCCAGAAGCGTAAATCAACTACCCAGCCGTACCCGACGACAGCTGAGACGGACGTCGAGAGTCAAGGTGTTGCTCAAGAGCGATAGTTTGAAGGATTCATGGCGAAAGTCGTATCCGTGCATCTTAGACAAGACGATAGGGCAAAGGGAATGATCCAATCCCATTACCCGTAATGGCAATCTATCATTCGAGGACGATATACGCCACACGACCTGGCTACACTCTTACCATCTCGGGAAAAGAATCCTAAGTCTGTCATCGGACGAACAGTTGGAATAAAGTTGCTAACCTTCATTCCAGTACGATCAGATTGCCTCCTTGGCCCTCGCGCAAAGCGGAGATCCTCTCCTTGAAGACAAGAGCGACGTTCTCGATTCTTTCGAGGTACCTTCTCCCGTTTTCATCCTCTCTGGATGTCTCCTTACACTTGTCCAGCCAGCTCAAGCTTTTTGAATAGGCTTCGATTGCGAGCATGATGTCGCTTTCCTCGTCGTACTCTTCGGCCTCGCGAGCGAATTTGATGGCCTGCGTCTCGCATTGAATGGGAAGTATATGTCCACCGGCCCCATTTGCGACGAGTTTGAAACTATCTGCGGCTTCCTTGAAATTTCTCTATTAAATGTAATCATCAGCGGGAGAAAAAATGTTGCGCACTGAATGGATGACTTCCAAATCATTTCTGGCTTGTCTGATTCGAGAGTGCCACGAATCATGATTAGTTGTAGGACGATCTGTTATACCGTGCGCCCACTCCCGTATATTCTCACTTTCGAGCCCAGAGCCGGGAGGAGATCCATTTGTTGCAGTCATAGACGTCGCGTCAGACTCCCCAGAGGTAGAATCCTGAGGACCGAGAGGTGAACATAGTTGTGAAGTAGACAAAGACCTACCTACATAGTAATGATCGAGTAGATCATGGTTCGCTGCTCTGATCTGATCCTTCTTCTTTCGTACTTCTCTCTTCTTGGTCTGCTTCGCCGCGATCTTCAAAGGGTTGGTATCCTTGTACTCTCTGATACTCTTTCTGTACTCTCTGGCTGATTTTATCGCTCTGGGACACATGGACGAATACTTGAGTAAGCACCTCCAAACGCCAGAAATAAATTCACAGACACTACTCACACGTCTTTCATCTCCAGGAACTTGCCATAGTCCTCATCTGCTATATTGCCCTCGCGATACGCCATCTCGAATCCCTGTGCTAGCCTCTGAGTCTCCAACGACTGCGAATCGTGACATTGATCATGGCGAGCAGAAAAGTTCGATGCGTGGGTGTATGCTGCGGCGGTGATGCCGGCTGCACCCCCGATTACCGCACCTCCAATTTCCGCCATAAGTATTCTTTGTCTAGGTCCGAGGGTGCCACGGTAGTTGAAGGGTAGACAAGAAATCGTCTGCAGTCGCTCAGGTCGAAGGAAGTTGGGGCCAAGGTTGTGCCTGTAGCAGGCAGGTGTCGATCATGTGCGATGCGAGGGCCAAGCTGCTGGTCGTTGATGACAGAAGGGGTTTGAATCGTACCGAGGCCCTGCGTAGAAATCATGCCTCGTTCCCGATTCCAGGCTTCGTCTCAATTGTCCTTCATACTACATCCAGATAAGGTGAGTATCTGTTTTTGCTCGTTTAAATTTAGATCAAGCCAATGGATCATTTCGGCCCAGCGTGGCGATCACACGGGCGCTAATTTGAAGTTTGGGCGACGCCACTGGCCTCTCTTCCGCTATTAATTAGCTATATCCTTCTACTCATTTACCTTGAATATTAATTCTTGCGTATCCGGACGGCGGTGATTAACCGTGCCCCTGTTGTGAAGTGGCCCACCTTATGATCCACCAAAATACTTATCGTTACCCTGCAGCTCAAATTGCGACCCGGGGTTCCCCAGTCAATTTTATAACCTCGATTCAATACAATTACTGTCCAGAGCTTTTATTTCTCAGCCGCGGAGTGCGACTGGACGCTCTTCGCCTTTCGGGCCCAGAATACAGACGACATGTTGGTTAATCAACAGCCCGAGCGCCCTTGGGGATATGGAAATCCGGGGGCAACATTGAAAGGGTATGAAAACAACAGAAATTGACATAATTTTTGTGGGATATGGCTCAGGTCATCACCGCCCTATTATGCGGTCATCAACTCATTCTGTGTCCCTCCGCATCCGCCAGCTTCTGATGTTGACCACTCAGGTGTCGAATAGAGAAGTACTGCTTATTCTTCCCATAAATTGCGGCTGCCGTACTCGAGACACCCGAGCTTCGGTCATAATGTCCTGGGGAGATTATCCAGGAAGTGTCATTCCTGAGAGAACGCGGATTTGAAGTTCATACACTTCACTGTTCAGCGATCAAATCGTCCGTTCTCTGGCCGCACTGCAGAGATCCTCACCAATCCACTGCCTGCGCCGAAATATTCTTCACGAGGCCTGTCGATCCTTTCCCACTCTAGCCCCGTCGCTTCAGGAGTGTTAGGGGGTTTCTCCACGATGTTATATAAAGGCGCCCAATCCACCACTGGAACCTAGACAAATCCCGGCCAGGCTTACCTCCTGAAGACTTCCATTCCTCTCCCCTGCAAGCGCACTGGCCTCAGTATGCTCACTCCAAGGCTTCCTGAATTTTTAACTTTTGTCCTGGCTTTCCAAGCAGCCAATGCCAGCCCCACAAACTCCAGAAGGCAGAGCATCACGCCTCTCTCCAGTTCGGAGATAACGGCGTTCAGACCTTTCTCCTACTTTGCAAGCACAGCCTACTGCAACCCAAGCACAACTATTAACTGGAGTTGCGGAGGTAGGCATCCTTGTCTGACATCTGTATATTCTCTCCTTGTCTGACAATGATTCTCCTCGTTTGTTGGTAGCAAATTGCGATGCGAACTCTGACTTCATACCTATCGCCACCGGAGGCGATGGCTCCTCTGTTCAATTTTGTATGAACTACCAGCCGTTTTCCTCATCTAATCTACTGTGAATTGATCCCTTGGGCCATTCTCAGGGTATGTTGGATATTGGCCGTCCCAAGAAACCGTCATCGTTGCCCACCAGGGCACGAATGTCTCGAAAATGTAGGTTTCTTGCACTGAGGGATACCACACGGAGCTTTCGCTAACGAGGCCTCTGCGCCGCTGTAGTCAAGCCGATGCTACGGACTTAGACGTGCTTTTGCAAAATTTGGACAGCACGCTCTTCCCGGGCGTAGATTCCTCGGTGGAAGTTCACAGTGGCTTTGCTCGAGAACAGGCCAAGTAAGTTTCATTCGGTCTTGAGATCTATCCCCTTTGTGTCCTAGTTATTGAATGTACTCAACATTTCTAGGACGGCCACTGATGTCCTGTCAGCCGTGAACACCGTTATCTCAACGTACGGGGCATCTAATGTCACAATTGTTGGCCACTCGCTAGGTGAATCTCTTTCCGACTTATCAGTCCAGCTTTTTTCTATTGCAACGATTACCAGGTGCCGCGATTGCCCTTTTAGACGGTGTTTATCTCCCTCTCCAAATCAGCGGTGTCTCATTCCGTATGATTGGATATGGAATGCCCCGAGTACGCCTTATTTCTCCTCTGCGTGTTCATAATTCTCAGGTCATTGGCTTTGGTTCTCCTTCTCAGGTCGGTAATCAGGCCTTCGCCAACTACATCGATGCCCACCTCGCAATCACTCATATCAACAACAAAAAGGACTTTGTGCCCATTATACCAGGTATGTGGCACTCAACTCTATCCTCCCGAGAATGTAGCTAACAGTAGTACTATGTCCTTCTCTCGATAAAGGCATGTTCTTGGGCTACGTCCACCCATGGGGTGAGGTCCATATAATGGGCAATGAGCAATGGGTCTCCTGTCCCGGTAAGCGTGCAGCATCTTCAGTTGAATCACCAACCACTCATGCGTGGAATCTCGTTGTAGGCCAAGACAACCCGAGCACAGAGTGCATCGTCGGGGACGTACCGAACGTCTTTGATGGAGTTGAAAGCGACCATGACGGACCCTATGATACTGTTGAGATGGGCTGTTGAATGCCTCGCGAAGCTCGGCGATACATGTGGACCATATTTGCGGAAGAAATTGTCTTATTTATCCATTAGACGTTGAAGAATTCTACTCTGTTTGTGGTCACTGTCGATCGATCTCGAGCGTGATCTAGATGAGACGTACGCACCGAACCAACTCGATGCGTACAGTCGACAACGGTTCGGAAAGAGAAGGTCCTCGAGGTGAACTCGGGCGCTCATTCGATGCTGCGCCAGTTGCGTGCTGAGGTTTGATTGCATGCCCCGTGGACTACGGCTAGTGCCCATCAAGGACAGCAAGCGCCACAGCAAATTAACCTGGTGCGTGGACAGGGATGCCATCTCAGAGACGCGCTCGAGCTGGTGCGACGAGCCTCATTGGTATCCCTACCGGCGACTCAATGAACCACGATCTTTGCAAAATATATCGGTCTTAACGACGTTGCGAGGATGGTCAAGTCTAGCTGTAAACGGCATTTAATTCTTCGGGCCTGGAGTGCAATGCACCGGTAAACGCAGTAACGACTCTCGCCCATACTAGTTGCGCCTCACATCCACCTCTGGGGCCATTGATTTAATATTTACCCCGAGCCTTGGCGCCTATCGGAAGCTGACAAAACGCCACCAACTAAATTTGAAATGCTGTCTATTTTCGGATGAGCCTCGCGGCCGCGATCCGGACCTAGGTCAGTGCCCTTGACGCCCGTCGCTGAAACAAATCAGGGAAAGACCGTAACAGAGTGGTGCGTATCGTGAAGGTGATCACTTTGCAGACCAGTGGGCGCCACTACGGGATGAGATCGAAATTCGGCCGCCATTAGAGACGCTATTTTGGGTCATTATTTCCTTTTTTGTCCACAGTAGAACATCCTTCGGCGATCATCCACATGTTGCTGATTGTCGCAACTTTCCTTTCGATGCAAGCATTTCGGCGAGTCACTCTTCGTGTTGATGCCGGAGAATACATAGGGCGTTTTTGGGGCCCTTCGCCAGCTTTGCAGTCTGAAATTGATGGCTTTCAAGTTATAATTAGAGACCATACTCACGATGCTACGGTACAATACAACTCGTAGGGACACCGTCAAGGCCGCGTATCGCTCGGCTAATAATTAGGCGACTGATAATAGAATACACTGCTCGTGGAGATGGCCGCATATTGGCAGCACTTTACGCGCACCAGCCAAGCCGCGCTCGCCCGAATGGCGTCTATCCTTCCAGAACCAGGGGGAAATACTCACTTTCGAGACAAGAGGGACTTGAGGACATCTACACGGGCCAAGAATGCCGTAAGCGAGGCCCATCTGACAGCAACCCCGGACCCGCTACGCATGAGAACAGCAAGACCAGGTCCACGATGAACAGGCAGGAAACTTGAAGATGTCCCAGCCGTCATCAGAAAGCAAGATGGATCGTGATACGATTGCGATTAGGTCTTTAGCAAGATGCGAACCAACCGCATATGTGGAGGACTCACAGGCAGCCGTATGTTGTGTGTAGATGAAAGGAGCTGATTTCTGAATCAATCACACAAATGTGAAATTCGCGTCTGAGATACAACACACTCCATGGAACAAGACTTGATCCGAAAGGAATGGGTAAGACTTGGTTGAGACTGCATGCCCTGTACCCGCCCTGGTCCAGCCTGGTTCAGTTGGCCGCAATGACGGCCAGTGCACGCACTTTTGATGTTATATTTCCGTTGATTCCGAGAAGCGCTTTTGTTCCGTTATTTCTACCAAGCAAGAGGTCACTGGAGCAGGCACAAGTATTACCCCGGGTTCAACAGTGGTTCTCTGTTGCTGCAGTCGTGGTAAGCGAAGGAAACTGGGCACAGACAAGGGGGAGATAACCTGCCTGCTTATAGATAAGGAGGTAGTCGATACTGGCCGAGCTGGGCGATTATAATCGATTGTGATTTGGTTGCGTAGAACGATGTGCTCACGCTGACGATGACAGGATTTCCCTGTCAAAGAACTGTGAGCAATTGAGTTGGCTCGGCAGGTTTCTTGTACGCAGTGCCGAGACGGAAGGAACGAAACTGAGCTGCCTGTCGCTCGAAAAAAGCGTGGCAAACCAGGTCAGCAGGACGCTCAGACTAACAAAAAAATCAGCCACCTAATGGCCCAGGCAGAACCACATCAAAAAGGATAAGTTCTTGAGAGTGTCCTGATTAACGTTTGTCTCGGTCGAGGTGCATTAGGAAGCGTGTTCCAGTCCCTGTTGCTCTTTCTTCCGGAGCGGGTCATGGTGCCGTTATCCCATTCATTGTCGGTGATATTTTTATTCCGCTGCGAGGAAGTCGCTCTGAGGGCCCTGCATTCAGTTCAACGGGGTTAGTGGCCGCCAACGTAACCCAGTATTTACAAGAATAGTACTTACAAGAATAACACCGACTTTCTATCAATTGAAAGAACAACAGTGTCGTAATCCCCCACACAGAAATATATAGGGACATGTCTCTCGCTCGCAGGTGTGGCACTTTTACGTCCGTAACTGCGACGCGCTTTTCGCCATTGGAGAGACAAGGGAGGTTCTTACGCCTTCCATATCTTCTCATGCTGTTACCTGGGAAGAATAGTCTGTTTTCCAGTTCAGGAGAAATCCAAATCGAGGAACGAGATAAAGGAGAAATGTTTGGTCCTGTGTCGCCCCATGCAGATTCTGAACGTCCGACTTGGAGACAACTTTGAATACCGGTCAACATTCGAGGCAGGAAGCATATGCCATAGAGATAAGTTAAGACTAAGTACTGAAAGCGAGCTTAGGATGAGTTGGCCAAATTCGGTAGAATGCGATTACAAACGAATGCTCTCTCCTCCGCTTAAGTCACGTCCTCTGGCAGCAGCAGCCGACATCGACTCTTGCACAGCATTACTAGGGTTAATGCTCGCGTGTGGCGCCAGCGGAGGCGACGGAGTCGTGGGGACCAACTGTTCTGGTGAAGGGGGAGCTTTGACTTCTCCCAATTCTTCTGCCTCTGCATCGTCGTCTCCGAGCATGAAGTCGCGTTCTCCCTTGGCTGAACCTCGAGCCTCTGGGCCAAATTTCCTACTCTGTGATATGTCTGGTGTTTGCTGAGATAAAGACTGAGAAACCGAGGGTGGCGTAGACGCAGAGAATGACAACGACTGCGCAGCGTTGACTTGAGATTGATGTGAGATGGGGTTGGTTTCTGCTCGTTGGAATGGAGCTGCCCTATTTCGACCAGGTTGTGGGCGCACGAAGCCGCCAGCGTTGGCCAGGCCATCTCCGTTCCCGAAACCCCCGCCTTCCTCCACACGATCGTCGCCGCCTGCTGGGCCAGACGCTTGCGTATGATGGCTGACAGGGTTGGTCGCCCGAGGATCGCTGGAGGGCAATCCACTATATGCGCCACCTCCGCCACTCCGGCTTCCAAGGTTCAAGATGATGATGCCGGCCATATCTTTACACCATTCGAATGCTTCTCGGCCGTGGTACTTCATGCTTTCGATGGAAAACTGCGGTATTTGGTCGAACCCCCGAAGATCGAGAACAAAGCGGTTATATAGTGTTCCAAGGACGGTGTATGTCATTAGCAAGACGAGGAAGCTAGAAAAACGCCCATGTTATTGCTCTAAACCATGGATAATAGGCGACCGCACTCACATTACCGCCAGCGTGGCAAAGATTCCCCAGACACCTCCACCTTCCGAAGTCGCGCAAGCGTACTGTTCAGAAAGGGTGGTGTGGTGAGAAAAAGTCTTCGAGATGTCAAAGTCGGCTTACATGAGTTTTCCACTCAATAACGAATCCACAGGCAATATCGTCATCACCTGGAGGCAGTTGGACGAGAAGACGAGGTACACCAGGTCCAAATACAGATTTGTCGCAGATAAATTCCAAAGCAGTAGAGGCCCTAACCTCCCCAGGCGGTTCGCCAGCCTTGGGTTTGCATCTTGAACCGTTCGACATCATGATTCGTGGCCTTCCATCGTAGATAGAGAGGGTAGTATTGGTCTTTCTATCAGATTAGAGTTAATGTGACCTACAGTCAGCATGAAGCGCGAAAACATTACAGAGAGAGCGTATAGAAGACATACCCGATGGCAAAGTCGCCGTGTCCGCGGCGAATGAAGCCCCCCACGTCTCCTGCGTCTATGTCGTTCTTGAGGCCGAACAGATCAGTCTTGACGCTCTGGCAGATATTCAAGGATATGGTTTGTCCTGAAGGCGTCTTGATGTCATAGTCTTTGCTAGACCATTATTCAGTCAAAAGAAATTCGTCATCGATGGCGCGTAAGAATGCTTACTTCGCTTTGAGAGGGTTTAGGTCGTAATATTTTCCACCATCATGAATCGTGCAAGGATTTTCGTCCGCAAATGCCGAAGTCGTAAAGAGAAATAAAGGCAAGAGGGTCGCCAAGAGTCGCCCTCGAGCTGGGTCGAACAGCATCGTGTCGGGAAGCTTGAAGAGCGAATGGTGTCACGGCCATGTTCATCAGCCAGTCACATTGGGCGTAATTGTCACACTTGCTCCCGAACTCCGGCGTCGTCCAGCAAACCAGAATCAACATCGACTTCCACAACGACGATGGCCACGGCCCTATTGCGCTCGCTGTCGCGCACGACGAGGACAACACCCGCCTCGCGATTTGTCTCTCGTAGTCTCTCTGTCTCATCTGTGGTGCGTCAGGCAGACCCGTCGGCTGAGGCAGCCAAAAAAACTGGGTTCGACTACCACACCGTGGAGGATCTGCATGGCATGAGTGCCCGCGAAATATTAACCGGTCCGAAGGATGACTCAAAAATGCGGCATTTTACAGGTACGTGTTGTCCAACATCCATTGAGAATAAAGCTGACATTGGGTATAGTCAATTTCGGGTGAGAAACAACAGTTGACCAGGTCGGAAGTGGTCGTTAATTGGAGCATAGACCGCAACATCCTGCTGCGCACGGTGTGCTACGCATGATCCTTGAGTTGAACGGAGAGGAGATTCTTCGCGCGGATCCCGTGAGTTGGGTTGTGCGTCGTCCTACCTCGCGTCCCTTAAATTTCTCCAGCATATCGGCTTGCTTCACCGTGGAACAGAGAAGCTCATCGAGTACAAGACCTACATTCAAGCTCTCCCATATTTTGACCGTCTGGACTACGTGTCTATGAGTACGTCGTTGGTTTGTGCTCTTACATGCTCCAATCCCATGATGTAATCTTTCCAGTGACGAACGAACTTTGCTATTCTCTCGCGGTCGAAAAGTTGCTCAATATACAGGTTCCTGACCGTGCTCAATGGATACGAACTTTGTTTGGAGAAATTACGCGTATCCTGAACCGTGAGTTTTGCAACATCTCCCCTCCCGCTTCTTACCACGAAGCCTGCAGATCTCATGGCTGTCCTTACGCACGTCATGGACGTTGGTGGTCTTACGCCCTTTCTGTGGGGTTTTGAGGAGCGCGAGAAGCTCATGGAATTCTATGAACGTGTCTCCGGTGCTCGGCTCCATGCTGCCTATGTCCGCCCCGGAGGTGTTGCTTTCGATCTTCCCCATGGACTTCTTGACGATATCTTCAAGTGGGCCACCCAATTCTCAACTAGAGTGGACGAGATCGAGGAGGTCGTTACCGGTAACCGTATCTGGAAAGAGCGGACGATTGGTGTTGGACCTGTGACAGCAAAGCAAGCTCTCGACTACAGCTTCAGCGGCGTCATGCTTCGTGGTAGCGGCGTTCCTTGGGATCTGCGAAAGGTTGCCCCCTACGACAAGTACGCGGAGGTAGGCTACTACTGCGACAACGCCGGCTTGTTCTTACCTTTCCATTTCTTTAGGTCGAGTTCGATATTCCTGTCGGCCGGAATGGAGACTGCTATGACCGTTATTTGTGCCGTGTTCAGGAGATGAGAGAGAGCCTGCATATCATCTCCCAATGCTTAAACAAGATGCCTACTGGGGCCGTCAAGGTTGATGACCACAAGCTCGTTCCTCCGCCCCGTGCTATGATGAAGGAGAGTATGGAATCACTAATTCATCACTTTAAGGTATGCCTGCCATTACGAAGCCTTGTGATACATATTTGACTTTCCTTTTCAGATCTTCAGCGAAGGTTATTCTGTTCCTCCCGGAGAGACATACAGCGCCATTGAGGCGCCTAAGGGCGAAATGGCCGTCTACCTTGTTTCGTGAGCCTCCTTATCTCCTCGTACACCTATTGGATTTGTTGAACTGGCTCGTATAGTGATGGCACAAACCGGCCATACCGATGTAGCATCCGTGCTCCTGGTTTCGCCCATCTCGCCGGTTCCGATTTTATGATGAGACGTATGTCATCCTGTTCTATCCCCTCGGGCCTTTGCTAAGCTTTTCTTTTCCTATAGATGTTAGACACTTCCTTTTATGACAAAAAAATTCAGCTGACTCTCCGTCTTCGCAGCATATGATCGCAGATGCCGTCGCCATCATTGGTACAATGGTAAGTCAACCACTGGATCTCGAAGCCGGGGCTTGGACCTGATTGTGTTTTTCCTGTCTTTTAGGATCTTGTGTTCGGGTGCGTTGCGTCGCCTTCTGACAATTCTTTTGGCATTGCTGACTGTTGATCCGATTTTCAGTGAGGTCGATAGATAGTTTTGGAACTAGAACCACTTTCCATTGTGAATGCCACGTCCTTTATCATCAAGAGATGAATCGATAATCTTCGGCGTACGCGACGACTTCCGTAGATTCTTGAACTCCGAAGATGTCTTGTTCGATGTTGTCGGCCTTGCCATGACCTTGGCGATATAAGGGGGCTACCAATTCTCGAAGCGATCGGTAAGTGGGGTAAGACGAACCGACATCAAGATCGCTGAGCTCATACATGTTGCCTTCCAGAGTGATTTCAAGATTAGAGCTAGTGCTGCAGATGCGAACAAGCAACACACTGCCTAGGTCTGAACACCGAGGCCCAACAGTGTGATTTGTCAACCATACTCCGCGGAATATTACCTTCTGTTGGCAATTTTTTTACTGGTTTTCCAAGGAGATATACCTACCTCTCGTGCATGTGTGCTCATTTGCTCACCGATGTTAGCGGCCGCTCGAAGCAATCCGCAGGTCTCGTGCAGCCTTCGCCCCGGCTCGACTTGACGGACTTCGCCTTCTTTGTCACCCACAATCTGTAGGCAACCTACACCCCGAATCCCCGATCTTTCCTCATAAGTCTTTCTTTCGATATCTTGTATGTGCCTTGCGCCCCGATGTTCGACAGGTCGCAGACATCGAATCCCCTTTGGAAGGGAAGGGAGTGCACCGGTCTTTTTCCGGCTATATCACCCACGTCGGACGACTTTTTTTTCAGCCGAAGATGATGCATTTGTCGTCCACATAAGTCTTGTTGTGAGTGAGGTTGTGGTATCAGTCAATGGATCCATGACTCGCTGCTTCTTGTTAGTTAGCCGGGGCAGGAACTCCTACTGCATCACATCGTGTGTTCCCCTCTTGTCCGATTCGAAGCAACGTGCCAGGCTCACACAAAAGGGCGATTTGAGTAGGGTCCTACCTTCTAAGGTTGTACGTGTTCGTTAAAAGTTGAATGTTGACGCTGCACATGACGAAGTACTCCCTGTTCTTTTCTCTATAGGTTTTAGCACGCCCCACCTTTCCTCCTCGTCTTCTATGCCGTGCTTTTCCATTCATCAAAAGAGAAAACTATCAGACACTTTATCAGTCGCATTTGTTCCAAATGGCACTCGTGACCTTCACTGCGTCCAGTGTCCCTTCCTATCTACCTATCTACAAATCAAGAAGCTATGTCGTTGGGATTTAAGAAAAGTCTCCGTCCAGAGAATCCGGAGAGCTGACCTCGCACTAACACTGATTATTATCAACACGGGCGACACGACCGACAGCATTGAGGCACGTCCACGTCCTCAACTACTTGCTTGAGACAAGTTAGTTTCTTTCGTATTTCCTTCCTGATGTTATTCTGGGCCGACTTGACTGCACCCCCTTGTCAGATAGACTTCTATCAAATCTTAGGGAAGTCTAGTTATCACCCGGTCTCCCCATGACAGCTCGAAGTTTCATTTCAGCCAACACCATGTCTGGGGTGTTGTCAAGATAGTGCCGATCTATGGTTATTCACCTGCCCAGTACGGTCGTCTGTCTCGTGCTTGTTTTCTTTGTACTGTGAGGTTCGACGCACGTCATCCTCCATTGTGCGGTTGCCTGATAATGGATATCCTGGCTGCGTGCCAATGAATTTGCAATGGTATTGAGGCCTGCCAGCGTCTATTTTCGCTCTTTCTAGGAAATTAACTCCTATCCGCACATCTATCTCCCGCGAAAGCGCAGATCAGCGATATGAACACTGAAAGCAGACCTCTTCTCGGCTGTCTGTATCAGCCCAGTGCTACCTAAGTGGAGTGTATGGGTGGATTTCCATTCGCTCTCTCAACTTCGACTTGATCGATTTCAGTATCCCGCCGCGACAGATACTCCACTTATGGCATAAGCGCCTGAACTAGCCAACTGCGGGCCTACTTTATCTTTGGAACTACCCCATGGGACAATTCTGAAGCATCAACCACCGATTTATCTGCGGCCCAACCAGCTCGCTTTCTTGCCACTCTTTTCACCTGTCAAACTTCGAACCAATGGTCTATCCTTTCGGACTCTCAGGCAGAATGGGCATGACAAACTTACTTGGACGTTGTCTCGTCGTCCCGCGCGAGCCTAATTTTCAGGATCACAGGCTGAACGTACCCAGTGATCCGACCGTCCACCTCGAACGTTCTGTCTAGCATGTCCCTGCTTTCATAGGTTTTGGTCTCGCCTTAGACCAGATGTTCTTCAGCTGGCGGGCCTGTCCTAATCAATTTTTGGGCTACATATGAGTTTAATTTGAACTAGTTGAAGCTTTCGGGGCCTTTACTCCGCTGTACCGGAATCTCGTATTCTTTCCACCCAAGAGTGATATTTTTGGGTCGAGAAATGGCCTTTTACTCTGCTCTGAGTTCCAAGTGAGAACCATCGGAATTCATTCTGGTTCTCTACCAAAATTAAGAACCATACCCTGAATTACGTTCCCGTCGATGATGATTCTCGTCGCGAAGTTCAAGTCAGGCGACAAAAGAGGGGCAGCGCGAGGCGTATGTGAGGCGCTCTGGGCTCACAGGACGTTGTCCGCATGGACAGAGCGTATCTGTGTTCCACGAACCTGCACCCCAGAGTTCTCATGCTGGCTTCTTATTTCTTAGACGTTGTAAGCACCTCTGGGTGTCGCCGTGTGTTTACTGTGGATAATAGTTTTCTTCTGGAGTCGGCTCTTTCCCCCCCATTTGACCGTACTTGACAGAAATGACACCGTAAATTAATTAGCAGGTCTGACAGCACAGATTCTCGTCGTCCGTCGCACCAGGCACGAGGACTCCTCGTTGATGGCAAAGACATAAGTCATGACATATTCACCTGCTCGAGGCCACTCGTGACTCGTATGTCTGGTTCAGATAAGATTCATGGCTACAAACATATTGTCACCTAAACTATGAATGACAGGACTTGTCCAGGCCGCCTTCCTGGTAATTCGAAGAGACGAAGGATCTGCACTCATCTGCATTCGGGAAAGCACAACCTTGAGGCCCAAAGCTGTGGGAAGACCGAAACTTTCGCTTTGCCTTGTGTCTTTTTTCCAATCTCCGCCAAATAAAATGACGGTATATAGTGCTTCGATGATGGCGGGCTCCTTCGTGGCATCATAAGCAGCAGCCAGCGATCCATGCTTAGAAACTTTAAGCTGAAACTCTTCCATGTCCGGCGGAGGCACTCAAATTGTAAAATACTTAGACTTGTCGAGTGCCTAGATGTCGTTTTTAACCTAATAAAAAACATCACGGGATTAAATCTCGCTCCGCTGGAGATTCAAGCAAACTCATCGTTCAAAGCAATGAGGAGTCCTTAAATGGTTAAAATATTGCGCGGCCAAAGAGGCGTGAGAATGTCACTTTTGATCCAGTGTTGTCCCAGTCCCGGAGAACACAACCGCTTTCACTTTTTTCCGCTACCATACTTGTCCAAAATGGCCAATGTCTTGCTCAAATCCGTCTGCAAGGCAATGGAGCGTATTGCCCCTCTCAGGTTGGCCGAAAAATGGGACAATGTCAGCTCTGGCATCTTCCAACTTCGCTGAGTTTTCGAAAGCCACTTACCCCAGCTTCCAGGTTGGCCTGCTGCTAGGTGCGCCGCGTTCCGAACTGTTTCTACATCGATGAACTAACGCGGTGCATCAGAGTCGCCTGTTCAACGACAGGGAAGGGGGAACGTTCTGCTGACGATCGAGTATGGATCTTCGCTTCCTCTCCTACTTACCACCGCGACTGAATTGAACTTCGCCAATCCAGCTTGACTTCATCCGTTCTCGCAGAATCTTTATCGAAAGAAACTTCGGTCATCGTGGCTTATCATCCAACCATCTTCAAAGGGCTGCAATCCTTCACGCTGTCGAACCCGCTACAGGCTTCCCTTCTGCAGTGTGCGGCTCACGGTATCTCGGTATACAGCCCTCATACGGCTCTTGATTCCGTCTGGGGCGGCATCAACGACTGGCTGGCGGAAGGTTTGATGAAGGGAAAGGACGATGGCGAAATTCGCTCCCTGATTCGTGAGAAGCTGGACGCAACGAGTGGCGAGAGCGAAGGGGGAGAAGGCAGGCTGGTCACGCTACGAGAGCCGATAGGGATGGACGTTCTGGAAAAAAGGATAAAGTCCCATCTCAAACTCTTGCAAAGTCTGTCGTGCTCTTCCTTTCCTTCGTCCAATCCCCATGTTCTGATTGATAAACCATGTTCCACCGATGCCTGCTGGTGATTGATAGTCCAAGTCGGATATCCTGGTTCCACGGAATCTCGATCGGCACGCATTCAGTCTATCGCCATATGTGCTGGGTCGGGTGGTTCGATGCTGCTTGGGCAAGAGGCGGATGTATACCTCACGGGAGAGATGTCGCACGTAGGCGTGGTCTTCAGCTCGTTATCGCAAATAAGCTCATCGTCGTGACCACAGCACGAGGTACTCTCTGCAGTAGCAGCTGGAAAGCACGTCATTCTCTGTGAGCTGCTCACCTAAAATTTATGTCATGATTACTCGCTGACCCGGCCTCCATCGATGCGAAGGTGGGCATACCAATACCGAACGGGGCTACCTCCCCATTCTCGCCGCAAAATTGCGCCACGAGCTGCAGGCTAATGATTTGAAGGATCAAGGTTTGGGCGACGTGGAGGTGTTGGTGAGCGAGAAGGATCAGCACCCTCTGGAATTTGTGTAGAAAGCACCCGGCAGCGTCCAAGGAATTCGATTCGCTCCCAGCCGGATAAGCTCATAGGTGACGCGAAGAGTTGGGCACGTTTCTTCGATTCTTCACCTCGAGGTTTCCGGCCTTTTCCTTATCGCTAGGACATCACTGGGACATCATGAGAATTTCGACAATAAAGCGCTCGTTCACAATAAACCCACCCATCGCAAAAAATCAATGCCTGCTTCGTGGTATGCTTCAAAGATGGAATTGGGAGGTATGATCCGTTCCGCAACTCAGAAATTCCAGCGCCACGGAGCCTGAAATTCGCAACTCCCCAGCTCAGATAGCGCGGCTGGTCAATGCATGGCACTCCGCGAAAAAGCGAGATAACACATCAAACCAATGTGAGCTTGGTTTACCAGACAGGAACGCAGGACGCAGACGGTTTCGGCCGAGGAGACGTCGACTCGCCCCGAGTCTTAGCGAGGACATACATGTTCCAAATGGCCGGTGTATGAATGGTTTCCAACGCCGACCGGCGCCAATATCTCTCGAACAGCGGGAACACATTTGAATGTGTCCACGAGCAGAACAGGTTGCAGCACGTCGTGTCGGAGGCACGGTGCGCAGAAAGAGAAGTAATTTATCGCTTTTCCTCGGCGATGAGCAGGTGGGATTTGTCGATGGGAGAGGACTTCCCCACGTCGTCCCATCGATAACACGGATATGGAGGCGGATATGACTGCGCTATCCGTTCGGTTTGTCGATGTCTGAGTGGTAGGATGTCTTAGGATCTAGTACAAGTGAATACACAGGATGGAGACCATGAGGCTGCACCGCAGCACTAGAGCACAGGCTGGGCAGATAGCGTGTAGGCTTGAGCGGAGCGCCCACAGCAAAGATATCGTCATTTCTTGCGTAGACGGTGTGGTGCGGGGAGTTGGGAAAAAGATTCACCTCGCTTCTGGTGGCATGGATTCGGAAACAGAGTGTAATGCTCCTTCAAGTTTCCGTAGGGAGGAGCAATTAATGTGAAGAAAGTCCAGTAAGGCTTCATTGCGCTTCGTGGGCTTCTTTCCATTCTTCCTCGTGAACGATGCCCAGCAGGCGATGCCCACAGATTAGTGATTAGTGAGCAGATCAATGTAGTAGTCCAGAAAGGGATGCAGGAGGTGGCGCATTTTTTTTTCGCAGACTTCCGGGCGCGCGTGCTCTCGGTCTTCAGTCCACGCTGGGGAGTCCGAATTCCGAATTGAAAAGAAGGTCCATCAGGGACCGAGGACCATGTTTTGGCGAGCCGGTGGTCATTTCAGGGAAGCGGGTCGAATTGCTTGCGACTCGGTCCATGATATTGCAGTAATAGAATCGCATCTCGGAGTAGGTTTTCCGGGCCGTAATAAACTTACGACTGCATAACGCCCGCACTGGAACCCAAGTGGACCCAAGTCTTGGGCGCAGCCGACGCAGATAGCACGTTCGTAAAGTTATTTGTGCCTTCTCGCAACAGACCACCGGGAGATAGCGGAATGAAAAGCGTGAACTCCAAGTAGAATAAAAGAAAATTGAGCCAGCATTCGCGCGAGGCTCATGCAGTGCGTCATGCACAGAAGTTGTCCTCGAGTCGGCGAGCTAGACGCAAGAGCTAGAATTTGCGCAAGGAATTCGTCAGGCAGCTGGTCGTTGTTTTTCTTCCGCCAGGCTCCTGGAGCCGATCTTATGGCATGATACGCTAGAGAAGATGTAAGCTTGAAGGTAAAGGAAATAGAATGGGCATGTACGCACCTCGGCCGAGGAAGCGAGCTCGGAGAAGCGCCTGTGAGGGTGCGCTGATAAGCAGTTATGGAAAATATGGCACGTTGATACGTTCTGGGCGCCTCGTCGAGCGTACCAGAAGGCATGATTGCAACCCAAACGTCGGCGAGAGGTTTCCCATCACCGTAGTTTTCGAGAACAGCGAGAAGGGTGGGTGATTGCAGGTGGACGAGGTTCCGACGACGCTGGATGGAAGCCAGCGAGATGAGATAGACAGGCTTTCTCGACGCTTGAGGCGAAAGGTGGGCAGAGGAAGGTCCTGCTATCGCCAAAATCTGTCTGATCCTGAAGAAGCTTAGGATCTTTCCGCACGCCTTGAATTGCATGACCGACGCCGAGGCGCACTTTGAAGGCGCTAACTCCGAGACTTGCGGCGAACATGTAAGTTCGCGAAAGCCTCGAGTTTCGAGATAGTCGAGAGCCAAGAAACAGGGATTCTGCCATCACGGGAGACGTCATGCCCAGCCCAACTCCTGAAAATCCGATTTGTCAACTCAATTGACATAGGAGGACTATTGCCAAGATTGGGTCCGGTACGAAGACGCCGTAGGGGAAGTCTAGAGCGTCTAATCGTCGTAAGGACTCGTAGGACTTGGTCTTGGAGGACGATTGGGGTTATGAGAGTAATATGCGACGGTCTTGGGCGTCATATGGCTTCATGCGGCTTTTCAATTTGAGTCCTTGGAGTAAGGTGTGAAGCCCAGCGCTGCAGCATGAGAGCGCCGCCTCCAAAGGTGTGAAGGAAGTTAGAAGAAAAATTATCTTATCTTTCCCCTTTGGCTAAGCTACATGAGGCACAAGAGTACCGAGAGATCGATAACGGATCAAGTCAACTTGGTCGGAAAGTTGATCCAGAAGAACGCAGCAGCGCCGACAAACCTATACGCCACGATACATGTCTAACTACACTGGAAGAGGTGGGGCGACGTGAAGAATATTTCACAATTATAGAACGCCCACGCAATGCAGGAAATTTTATCAAAGCCAGATGGAAGTCGCCGGAGCACCTAGCCAAGAATTGGCCGGATGCAAAGAGCGTCGTTGAAAATTGCGGCTACGGACAATTGAAACGCACGTTCGGTTCGGTGGACCTCTGGTTTGGATTTAAATTGGTGGGCAGTCCATTTCAGAGACTTTCGAGATGAATCGCAGAATGGTTTGGCTTGGCGGCGGAGACCGCGCCAAGCGGTGGCCGTTGATCCTCGATCACGTGAGTTATTGAAACGCGTCAACGGGGAAGTTGTTCATCTCGCCTCTTGACTCATCTCCTCATCGTGCCCGACGGCGAGCAACCTTTTTACGCGTCGGCGAGCCTCAACCACACCCTCCTCGACCGCTCTCGACCGCTAAACCAGCTTCCTACTTCACCGTCGCTATCGACCTCCCGTAATGCCACTTCTCGATTCCGGAGATGAACTCAGCCTGAGGCATCTTCCTGATGCATCGGACACATCGTTCTCGTTTCAAATACCTGGGACGACGCAGAATGAGAATCTCCTCGCCGAGGTTGACCTAGACTTCTTTCGGGGTGCTGATTTATCTGTCACTGCACCAACCCCGTCGGTTTTGCCGCCTTCATCCGCGCACGGACCGTTGACTTTCAGTCAACTTACGCCTAGGCCCTTTGCCGAGAAAGCGAAGGAGACGAATAACTCGAGGAAGCCATTTCCGACGCTGTCGTGGCAGCCTTCTGAAGACTCGGGCTACCAACGCGAGAACGTAGAACCCAAGACACGCCATCAACGCCCGGAATTGAAACTGAACACAAACAGTTTAGCAAGCCCGAAACCGAAGATTAATCTATCAATGCCATTAGCCCGTCTTCCTTCCGCTGAAGGGTCGCCCGTCGGTGTGCGTTTGGAAGTTCCTAGTCTAGAAGTGGAGGTTTTGAAGCAGGAGCTGCCTGTCGAAGCTTCAGCTGACAACAACGTACCCCTTGCTGCGCATGACGATCGAAAACCGAAAGGGATTAGGAGGCGATCTCTTGAGAAAAAGCAGATGACTATACGGGAGAAACCTGGTGTGCGCAATAGGCAGGTATGTCATCCCTTCGTTTTTCCTAACCCACCACGTACCTGAAAATTGAATGATTGACGTTTCATGGGTCTATCTCTATCTAATAGAAACTGATTGAGGGCGGAATCAACAAGATGCGGAGAACAAGCACCAACAAGATGGCCGAGACAGCTGTTCGCGCCGTTAGAGGTTCCATTCTTACTCAACCAGCAGACCCCGCATTCCCATCATCACGACAACCTGCGCGCACTGACGAACTCAATGGAGACGAACCATCTCTTGCCGATACCAGCGTGACTTCATCTCTTGGAGGAGTAGCTGCTCGCCTGCTACAATACGGTCAACAGCTCGTCAACTCCTTTGGGTACGTTTTTCGTTCAATGATGATAAGATTATACTGATGACGGAATTTCTTTGTTCTCAGTGCCGATACGTCTGCGCCCGCGAATTTGATCCCGAGTGACATGCCCCAGCCTTCTGTACCTGTATCCCAGGATCTGGAGTCAGCTGTCAGTGGGCACCTTGAACCAGCGGAGGCTAAAGAGGCGGAGGAAGATGATAGGTCCAAACCATTGACTCTATCACAACTTTCACCAAGAAAGGCAGCGACTCAGGCAACTGGCTCGAGACCTCCTACCCCACCGGCAAACGAGCCGATGTCACCCTTGCGGCCGTCAACAAAGAGGCCGATACCGATGGCAGTCGCGTCAGAGAGACACATACGCAAAAAAAGCAAAGGCGACGCAACCTCCGCGGCCGAGACCGCTCCACGCAAACTCGCAGGAAGCGGTTCTAGGACCCACCCAAAGCCCCAGCTCCCAGCAACGCGAAGGAACCCTCGCCCCGCGAACTTGTCGCGTTCTGGCTCTAGCTCAGGACCGAGCTCGAAGCCGGGTGAACGAGGAATCTCGAAGGCGAAGAGCAGGGTGGTTTCCCTTCCCAAACCACCTCCGGCGTTCAAACCCGAATGGAACGACAACGTCGCCGCGAAATCCTCGTCGACCTCTGCGGCACAATCACGGATTTCCCGGAGTCAGAGTAATCTCGACAGCAAGGCCACGATGAGGCCGGCAAATTCCCTGAGGGACAAAGGGAAGGGCTTGACCACTTCGGCATCATCTTCCTCGTCAAGCAGGTTAGGTGCCAAGCCGGTACGTCGATTTTTTCTGATCCATCCTTTTTCGACGTTGCTCTTTCACGCACACGAAGCATGAATTCGGCCTCTGTCCGAGCAGCATCCTTTTTCTTTTTTCATTAACTCTTTCTTCCATGGTTTTTTTAACTTTCATCTCGCTTATTACTCAGGTTTTTGGTGACCATGCGACTGCTGCCTTTGACGCCACAAAGCTTGCAGGGTCCAAGGGTCCTTCCAAGGCGGCTGCACATGAGCGACACGAGCAGGAAACTGCCGAGTTCCAGGCATCCAAATCGCAATCGCGTTCCCAATCTCATTCACGTTCACGAACACGCTCCCAGACTGTATCCCAATCGCAGTCACAATCACAATCGCACTCACGTTCGACGTCTTCGCAATCACAAAGAGAGAAGCGTTATCAATTTTACCATCCTGTTCCTGATTTCAAGGCGATCCATGCAACGCAGGAAGCCGAGCTAGCCCGTCTAAAGGAGAACATTCACCCCACCGTGCCGTTGTCCATGGTTTTGGAAACAGATGTCCGTGCCGAGGAGCGGAGGAAGTTTGACGAGAAGCTGAAAGAGAAGGAGAGAGAGCTACAGAGGCAGGAGGAAGAACGTCGGCGACAGAGGGAGTTGGAGGAAGAGCGCGAGGTGAGAGAACTTAGGAAGAGGACCGTGCCCAAGGCGCACGAGATCCCGGAATGGTATAACGAAATGCCGAAGAGGAAGAATCGGGCCCAGTAGGTGGGCGCGGCGGCGTCTGGGAGATAGGGAGATAGAGGTGCGAACGGAGGAGTTGGTAGAGATGAAAGGAAGACACTCTTTGTTTTCTCGCGGGCTGGGTGGGGACGTGGATGCGTGGATGCGTGGGTGAAATGACACGTGTGAGTCGTGTTCTTGGAAGATAGAACGGCGCACTAATGTCTCTTTCCTTAGATTTACCTCACAGTTGGGATGGATGTACTCTCCATGTATGACTGCCTGGAAATTTACTCTCGTTACAATCCTTCTCGAATGTCTGGGGTCGACTTCTTCACTCTGCGTTCTTTTCGTGTACGACAAGCGCAAGCGAGTCTAGAATTGCTACCGTGACGAAGGAGGGTTCGTTTTCTTTCTCGTTTTAATGAATAACGTTAACTGGTTACCCTGGCTTACTATTCCTTTGATCATCAGCTATGTATAGCAGTGAATCGCTATATGAAAGAGATCCTCGACGGGGAATGGAGTGGTTGTACCTCTTTGCCTGGGTGGGTCGTAAGCTCTTTGATACGACCAAAGAGCGCACTACTCGCTTCGAATGTAGGCCAGACCGACCACGCCCCGCCGGCCGCGCAGGGTGAGGTGTCATCAAGTCGTCTCTAGAGATAAAGTACGGAATGACATGAAAGAATCCCTCGCCAGGTTAACGACGATGAATCTGGACCTACTTTACTTGACGAGTGGGTGCTTCGTTCTTTCGTTATGGGGCTATAAATCCGCAAAACCCGCGATGGCAGTTGTAGATTTCTCTCACAAGAACCCATTGGGACGTTGACAATCACGACTTTTGAAGGCGTGTGCCATGGCAGGAGAGCAGTGGGCGTTTACGGCAGCTTCGCGCTTGTGCAAATCGAGCAAGTCGAGGCCCACTTCTGGGTAAGGACGGACGTAAGGTGCTGCGCACTCGAGTTCGTGTTCGTGGATTGCGTGGAGGCGCATCTGCATCTCGGTTCGAGCACTCAGGATGCAGCTGGTTCGCTTGACCGTTATATGTGCGAATTCGTCTATGAGTTTCCTCCGACATGGCGCGGGTATCTGCGCCCGTCACCTTCGCGCGTTTCCAGCGCTGTTCCTTGGATTCTTATTTCCTGTCCCATGCACCTTTCGGCCTTGGGCGGTAATGGGTGCAAAATTGCTAGCCGAGTACATATGTGAGAAGCATTTTCGTTAGAAATCGATCGCAGGCGTACGTATGCAGTTCCACTGCCTTGCACTGCACCTTGCCGAAAGCATTTATAAGAATCAGGATAAATAAAATTCAATACGATCGCGATAAAATAGTAGGGTATGCCAGAGACATGAATGGTGTACAGCGCCGCCTCGAGGCATGCCGTAACAATTGACTACGAGAAGGGCATAGTCTTCGCAGGCGGGAATCCTCAGGAAAGGAAGCCCAAAGGACAGGTGAACAAGCTTGGAGCGGGTGTCTTCCATTCTGAAAAATATTTCACCGTAGGGAAACAACGTTTATGACCTACGGCCGAACAACACGCTGGGGTGCCTCTGCGCGTCTATTTTTGCTCCAAGAAGGAAAGCGCGGTAAGGTGGCGTACACGATGCCTTCAAGAGCTCCAAAACTTCGGGAGAAACACCTCTTCCGAACTTCCCGGAATGAACAAAATTCATTTACTGCTGCCTCATGTCGGCCGTGAGAGGTCCTGGAACTGCGTCGGCGTCTCGGGGTACGCCGTCGTCTGCTCTCGAAGGACATGCTTACTACACGTTTGATTAAGTTTAAAAATATCTGCTTTTCCTGGACCCCACTACTGCTCCCTAGTGATAGCGCCAATGCAGTGGATCGAAGAGAGTGAGAGAACACTGCTCGGTTGATCATAGTCGACACAATAGGTCTGCCTTGACGCCACAGAGAACTCGCGAAGCGCGCGCTCGGTACCAATCACCGATGATTCACTCCTGATGAGATGGGCAGCCAGAGTAAATTTGGCATCGTAAGCGACGCGATATATTATGAATGTCAATGCGCGATGATTACGCTCTTGTTGCTGACTTGCTGCTGTCTAATCGTGGTAGTGGGATGCCCGTAGTTTGTCAGACGCAGCGGTGACGGCGACGGCGAACTGGATATCTGATTCTCATTTCGCTCGAGACTCTGAAGGTAAGGTCGAGGCCATGCGCTTCAACCGGCTTACTTCTTTCATCGTTGAACAACATTCAATCGCCAGGCGTCGGCTTTCATAGCTTTTGCAATCCCGCATACGCATCACATCACTCATCGACGGCGTCTAGATTAGTGCCAGTGGCGTCCTTTCACTGCTCTATTATCACACATATCACATCTCTCAGGGCCGCGGTGCAGAGTTTGATCGAAATTGAATGACCTCCCGTTCGTTACTTCATCGAATCGTTCACATCATGGCCTCAAAGCACACCAGGCGCTAGTCTGATGATAGGTATCAAAGGTCGATGATTTCCCACATTGGTCCAGGGTATCTAGCGACTGTGCCATGGACAAAGACCGTCAGACCGCGACTGCACTCCGGCAACTTGAGTTACGTGCGATGCTCTCTCATAATATGGCAGGCATCTATGTCGTCACATATCCCCGGCGCGTTGTCCGCTGATATGATCTAGTCGTATCTAACAATAATGATTACATGTAGCCCAAAAGCTTCCTTCGCGCGACAAGATGATGTAAAATGCTTGTTGGACCTCAAAGAAAGATAAAAATAAAGAAATTCCCTATCGCACTGCAGCTTCATGCACGAAGCGCTCGCACGTTGTCGACCCCAGTCGGACGGGTGTATTGTATTTCGGGAGTCAGACATCACTTGGAGGCTTCGCTTTGACTAGTAAGTGGGCGTCGGCGCTGGAGTCGGCGCTTTGCACTCCGGCTGAGTTGCCACTAAAAACAATAGACCTCCAGCGCCTATTTCTCCATGGGAATTTTAATCAAAAAGACGCAAGGCTTTATAGCTTTACTATTACAAAGCCACAAAAGCGTCGGACCTCGAGGCTCGGGAGTGCCTCGCGTTCAGAATCGGCACGATATGTTGGTGGAGACAGGCGGTGAAAGTACGCCTCGTTCTAATGGCCGCTCGTTCTCTCCTTCTTTTAGGGGTTGCATAGAGTTCTGCTCGGACTATGACCTGATATGCGTGCGCGTGCGTGTCGGAAAAAAAGGATCATGCGCATATGCCAATGGTGTGCGACGCCCACACTCGGTCACAGCAATAAGCGGACTAGAAACAGACACGCGTCTATGCCTAGAAAGGCCGCGGTGAATCGATCTGGAGTCATCTTCTGTCGTAGATTCTGTCGATTCAGGCGGCTCGGGAGAGCCAGAATAATCAAGTTAATGGGGGTAATGTACTACTACCCTTATGTATGTGTTGGTACGTCCCCAGTTCTTAGTCGAAGGTGTTCCTTACCTCACGGGATGCCACGACATCCGTATCGTTTCACTAAGCGACTCATACTGAAGCGTTCTTTTCCCCAAAAGACTCGGGTAAAGCGAGTCTATCAGTACTCTCGATCGTCGTCACGTTCTTGGTCGAGTGGGAACGCGAACCCGCTCGTAACCAGTAGTCGCTTCAGGTTCTTCTCTTTGGGTCCCCAGTACTTGACTCCCTCTTCTTCCAAACGACGCCAGTGACGTGTTCTGGTTCTGGTTTTGGTTTTGGTTTGGTTTCGTCTTGTGGTTCTCCCGAATCCCACCACGCCCGTTTCCCTTTGTCCAATACGCTACGCCCCCCGGAGTAATTGTTGGGGTATTCGGTATCTGATCATGATGATTTGTGAGAAGAGATTCGAGGATGTGTGGGAACAAGATCGTCATCTCTCGTCGTTCAGGTCCCAACTTCTAGCCTCTAGGCGTAAAATAAAGAGCGCATTGATAGGCAGCTCTTAGACACTTCTCAATATGGCGTAGTCGAAGAAGGCGAGCAGTCTTGAGAAAAAACAAGCGAATTTATCCAGAACCCCCGTCCTAGATCCTCACTCTCGTCGATAGATGGATGATGATCTTTCCTGCCCGCCCCACTCGCGGGAAGATGCGCCTGTAAGCGCGCTCAGTTGTCCAGTCGTTCACTTCCTGACTATGATTCTGACCGTGAGTGCCGTCCCTGAGTTAACCTGACCTGACCTGCCATCGTGCTCCTTATTCAGAACTGCTGATGCAGACCATCAACGTCAAGTTCTTTCGGCACCGACTGCAACGATCGCGGCAATCCCGTGTCGCCCTACAGGGTACGAGCAGAAGCGCAGGCCCTGGACCAGGCCTCCCAAGCACAGTTGCGTCGGTCACTAAATAATTCACGGTATAATGGTTGATCAGAACTTGAATCCAGATCATGATCAGAGACTGAGATGCGAGACGGAAGTAAATTTCCTTTTTCCGTGCCGTATTTGCGGGGTACCTGACCTCCTCCCTGAGTTTACGAGTTTGCGAGTCTACTTACCAGTGATGAGTCGATTGGTCTCACTCAGGGTCTGATCCCGATGCTGACAGGTGGCAGGATAGCCCGAAATGGCCAAATACAGTCCCTCGCGCGCTCCCGGCCCCAGCGCATCAACACCAGAAGAGTTGAGCATCGGGAGGACCCAGAACACCCCGGAATAAGATATTTGCTGTATAATCGCCGTTCGATGACTACGATGCAGTTGCGGGTGACACGGGCTGCGGGCCGCAAACGGTGAGCAGGCGTGAGAATCTCTCTGATCTCCCTCGAGATTTCGTCTAATTTATGTCGTATAGCTAGCCACACCAACCAACTTTCCGGCAAACTATAATAAATGGATAGAAGTGTACATAATAAACTTATTTGTGAGAAAAGATAATGCAGCGTTCAATAGTGTGGTGCGCTACAATCCAAATCCGACGACGAGCGCTTGATTAGTGGCTGTGCGAGTCGTCGCCAGCTCCTCCGAGAGCGATTTGTCTACCTAGCTCGGAGTGGAAAGATAAAAGAGGCCACGTAGATCTAAATACATTAACAAGTACCCTATAGATACCATAATGGACACGT